GATATCGTTAAGTCGTACCGGAGGGCAATTTTTCCTTCTCATTGTAAAGGTTATTTGTGAAGACTTAGTCTCATTTGCTTTTATTCTCCAGGTTTTAAGCCACTGGGAAATGTTATCTAGCGCTCGCTGGAGTTTGTTTGATGCTAACTGGTGATTTTCGTCTGTAGCAATTACCACAGTATCATCGGCAAAAGTTCCAATCTCAGTACCAACGGTGGTAGGCAAGTCGTTAGTGAAGAGTAAGTATAACACTGGTCCCAAGACACTGCCTTGTGGCACTCCAGCCTGAATTAGCTGCAAAGTTGACATTTCATCCCCCTGTTTTACAAAGAAATATCGTGATTCGATGTAAGATTTTAAGAAAATATAGTAATTAATTGGGAGCATCTTTTTAAGCTTAAACAATAGGCCGTTATGCCAAACTTTATCAAATGCCTGGGATATGTCCAGAAATGCTGCTGTGCAGTACTTCTTTTTGTCAAATGCTGTATGTATGACATTAACCACTCTGTGTACTTGCTCTATTGTACTGTGTTTTTTTTCTAAAACCAAATTGATATTCCGGAATTAGTCTCCTTCTATTGACAATGGGCATTAATCTGGTAAGAAATAAATTTTCCAACAACTTTGACATAACCGGTAGAAGACTAATTGGTCTATATGACTTAACATCTTTTGCCGTTTTCCCAGGTTTGAGTATCATGGTGATTTGAGCCACCTTGAATTGGGGAGGGATAAAGCCTTTTGTGACAATAGAATTAAAAATGTTTCGCAGCAGTACTATTGCTTCATCCGGTAACTCCTTTAATATTTTTGAAGTAATTAGGTCATAGCCGGGTGCTTTATTTATTTTTAGTTTTTTGATTTCAAATTTTATGTCGAAAATGGAGAATTTTTGTATTGGCAGGTCCAGTTGGTGCGTTTGCAGTAATACCTCTCTAATCTCTTCAGATATACTATTTGGGGCTTCATTAGTGTTTGGAACAAAAACTGAAGACAGTTGGTCCGTAAATACTTTACATTTTTCTGTATCTGTTCGGGCCCATTGCCCAAGTTCGTTTTTTACTGGTGCATTGTGCGTTGTTGTCTGTTTCTTGATTGCTCGCCAGAGAGAGTAGTTGGTGGAAGTAGTTGCGTCTAGTCTTTGGAGATTTCTTTGTATTTCCAAATTTCTGGTTGTTTTCAGATGTTCTTTTAGATTTTTGATCAGCACATTAAAAAGTTTTTTATCTTTCGGAGATTTGGTTTGTTGCCAGCGCCTTCTGACTGCTCTTTTGGCTCTTATAAGTTCTTGAGTCGTACTACATAATGGTGTGGCGAATTGTTGCATGTTTGAAGGCGTGGATCTCCAGGCTGATTGTTGAATACTCCTTATAAGATGTTCGGTTGCAAGCGCAATTTCTTCGTCTGTTTTAAGCACCATTTTTTCATCAATTAATGCCTTAAGTGTATGCCTAAAGGCATCCCAGTTGGTTAATTTGTTGTGCAGATAACATTTTTGAACTTTAAGTTGTATATTCGATTTTATCCGTAATAATACTGGCGAGTGATCTGATGAAAGATCAAAGCTAGATTTACAGAAAGTGTCGTTTTGTCGCACTCCTTTAGTAACACAAAAGTCTAACAAGTCTGGCATTTTTTTTGGGATCCGTGGGCCAATAAGTTGGTTCTCCAGACGAGATAGTTGAAAGGTTTTCGCTTCTTATAGCCGCAAGCATCTGTCGTCCTTTGGGTGTTGAAAGCCGAGAGCCCCATTCAACGTGTTTAGCATTAAAATCTCCCCCCGCAATAAATCTGTTACCTAAGGTTCTAAAGAATTTTTTATATGTTGCCGTCTTAGTTGCGTGTTTTGGTGGACAGTATACTGATGTTATTGTGATTGAGCCACACCAATCTTTTACTGATATGCTGGTTGTTTGAATCTCTTCAGTGCGGTATTGTTGCATTTCAAAGTGTAATATATTTGTTTTAACTAAAATGCCACTTCCCCCATGAGCCGTTCCATCGGGATGCATAGTGTGGTAAAAGTCATAGCCTGGTACTTTAAAATAATGTTTTGAAGTAAAACGTGTTTCAGATATTAGCATGATGTCTACTTTTTGATCTTTTAAAAATTCTTGTAGCTCTAAACAGTGTTTTGACAGCCCATTCGCATTCCAGAGCACTATATTTAATTCACTGTCGGACATAATTTAGTCGTCAGCGTGACAAGAACATTCATTAACGTAGTGATTTGTTCTAACATTTGCTTAACTACTATTAGAACTTCGCTCATGGTATCTGGAGATTTAGGAATAGTAAGAGATTTAGGTGAATGTTCCACTAGCACGCTAGCATAACTTCTTTTGGGATCCCTTAGGATAGAAACTTTGTCTTTTTCTTCGTCAGTTTCTTTGTTTGTAGTTGTTGTTGGTTTAGGTTTTAGTGTTGGAAATTTCGCGGTTTGTAGCTGCTTATATATCGAACAGCCTTTATAATTTGCAGGATGATTTCCTTCGCATAATACGCATTTGACTTCA